AAGCTTACTAATTCCATTACTGTAAAATTATTTTGGCTTTGATTCGAAGAACTCACAAATGTCAGTTTTAACCTCTTCCTGTGTTACAAAAGCTGTTTCTTCCAAATGATTCTGTAAGCTACGAAAAAAATGGTAGTCTGAAGGAGCAAGATCGGGAGAATAAGATGGATGAAGAATTTTTTCCCAACCAAGTTCTTCAATCTTTTGTGACGTGATTCTTGCTGTGTCGGGTCGCGCATTGTCCTGATGAAACATCACCTCTTTTCGATTCACTAGCGCAGGTCCTTTTTTCCTCAAAGCTTGGTTCAAATGCTTTAATTGCTGACAATATATTTGAGCATTAATTGTTGCATTAGGTGGTAAGAATTCAAAGTGGATTATTCCTTGGCGATCCCACCAGATTGAAAGAAGAACCTTTTGCTCATGAAGTTCCCTTCTCAGCTGTGGCTTGGGTCCTTCCCTTTACCAAGCCACTGTCTACGACACTTAACATTTCGATAAAAGATCCATTTTTCATCGCCAGTCACGAGTTATCCAAAAAAGGTGAAACAAGTTGGCGAGAATGGAGAGAAGAGCAGATGTCAACTCGGGATTTGAGGTTGTTTTCAGACAATTCATGAGGCACCCATTTTCCAAGTTTAGGAACTTTTCCAAGTTGTTGAAGATGACGATGAACAGTTGTATGGTTTGAACTGAGAACCACTGCCAATTCCTCAACTGATAAAGCAGGATTTTCTTCATGGGCTGCTTCAAGAAGCTTTTCATCAAACTCAACTGGACGTCTGGTTCGATCTTCATCTTCAAGGATGAAATCTCCATCTCTGAATTTTGCAAACCATCTTCTGCAAGTTCTTTCATTCACACATTCCTCTCCATAAACTGAGTGAATGTTTCTAGCCACTTCAGCTGCTGAGTTTCCTTTCTTGAACTCATAAAGCATTATGTGCCTCAAATGATTCTTGGGTACTTCCATGTTAGCAGAGTTTTAATCAAACAAAATTTAATTTTATTGTTCTCTGAAATAAAATTTGATCAGTTTAAGTGCATCTAAACATAAAAATAATGTTCAACTCCATTAGACATTATAAAATACTCTATAAATTTCGTTCATTTTAACAAAAAAAAAAAATTTGGTCAGAACTTATGGGATGACCTATATATATATATATATATATATATATATATATATATATATATATAGTTTTAAGATATGCTCAATATCAGAGATAGACTGTATATAATTATAAAAATGAACATTGGAGTCAACACACACAAGTGACATTTCTTTATTTTTCTAATTTTTGAATAAGTTGGTGAATGCTGCCTCACCTTCAGTTCATCTTTGGTGCTACAAGGGGTTTTGTAGATCTCTCGCTCAATTGCACCCAACACACAATAATCAACATTGTTGCATTCTTGGGAGTTAGGTGGCCAGATGTTAGGTGTGATGTCATCACATAATTTATCTGCCAGCCAAGAATGGATTCTCCTGCTTGTGTGGCATCATGCAGAGTGCTGTTGCCAGCAGGCATCATCTTGACACCAGGCAGCACTACCTACTCAAGGCAATTGATGTACTCCTCCATGTCGAGTCTGATGTAAATATAAAAATGAACACTGGAGTCAACACACACAAGTGACATTTCTTTATTTTATTTTTCTAATATTTGAATAAGTTGGTGAATGCTCCCATAATCCTTGCCTTCAATTCATCTTTGGGGTTACAAGGACTTTTGTTGGTATCTCGCTCAACTGCACCCTATACATAAGAAACAAGGGGGTTGCAATCTGGGGAGCCAAGTGGCCAGATGTAAGGGGTGTTGTGGTCACGAAAATTGTCTGACAGCTATGACTAAGTTCTCTTGCTTGTGTGACATGATGCAGAGTCCAGTTGCCAAACATAGGGTTTTCCAGCAGCCACCCTCTTGACCCAAGGTAGCACTACCTCTTCAAGGCACATGATGTACACCTCCATGTGGAGTCTGGGGCTATCACCAACAATTTTAGGAGTTGTTTTCTTATCAGAACAATCAGTGAGTTTTCTGAGCTACCTTACTGTTATAGACAAGCGTATGGTTGCAAAAAAGAAATACGACAACAGCAAAAATAGATTTACATGATTTATTTCAACAGGAACATGTGGGTTTGGGACAGCTATCTTGTGGTATAGTTCATAAGCTGACTGTCGATCTGGGTTGATCTCTCATAGTAGTTCTCACTGGTTGGTGTGGCACTCCTCCTCCTGCTGCTGACTGCTGCCAACTGCTCAACCTGACCGTGACAGGTCTCTTCCCTGACCTGCTGCTGACTGCCTGTGACCCCTTTTATGGCATTTTTTTATGGCTTAACAGGCTCAAAAAATGACGTGAGTATAATTAGGAGGGAAGCATTTTTATTGGTCGAGAAATAGGAACACTTTAAAATATTATTTTATTTTTCAACCGGAACTCGTGTGTCAGGCCTATGTGTAAATAACGATAATGGTCATTTTGTGATGAGGCCTTGTCCTGTTCCCATCTGGCTCTCACTCTTGCAAATGTTTATTTGCCTGCAAATCAGCCGAGATATGTCTTATTTTATTTTATAACATTACCTTCATAATATTTATTAGACTCATCCAATTCTTTCCCAGTCCTCTGCACTGTCCTCAGATTGATACCCAAAAATTCTGAAATGTTCATAATGGAGCTTCCAGCATGAATGCCAAGCAGTGGAACATGCCATTTCCAAATTTCTGGCAGAGTGAATTGAGTCCGGGTGCTCTTTTCTCACAGATGCTGCCCAACTGACCCTACTATACTGTGCAGTTAACAAAAATAAAAACAAACTGCACATGCACAAAATTAAAAATATAAATACCCATCACACCCTTTATGTATGTATATGTGTGTGTGTGTATATATATATATATATATATATATATATATATATGATGAACTCTACTGTTGAATTTAACATATGAGGTTTCAACAACCTCATTCAGTTTGTCTGTTTGTATCATATGTGACACTTAAGTCCTGTTAGTAACCTGAAATGTCTGATATCACTCTGGCACAAATATCTTCAGTTATTTCTCTCTCGAGGTACTCGCTCAAAATTAATATGAGGCACATTGACATCTGAGAGGTTACTCTTTAGCTTGTTTTTATACCTGAGCTATGGCCATCCAACAGTTCTCTGTCCCCTGTCAAGTTGGCTATACATGAGGACTTTAGATATTCTGTCAAAATCCTTGCAACAGGACCAGCCCAGTAAAGTTGTGACTGCATCAGGAAAGTTTCAATTCCACTTAATGTTGCATTTTGCAAGAAGATCATCATTGGACACCATATTGTCAAAAGCATAGCTACAGATCCCAGTATATTATTATTATTTTTATTATTTTTTTTAAGCATTTCATCCCAAGCAAGGCAGAAAGCCACTAGCACACAAGGGGCTACAGAGAGTTGGAGTGAGAGCAAATAGGAGTGATAGAGGAAAGGATGAAGAGAAGGATAAATCAAGGCATCTGGAGATGTTGATTGACATTACATTTGAGTAGTTGGAGATTATAGCTATCAAGGAAACAGGAAAAGGGGAAGGAGTTCCACAGGCGAGAAGTGCGAGACATGAAATTATTGGCATAGAAGAGACAACTATGTTTAACAGTGAAAGGATGAGAGCGAGATGCCAGCCTAGTTGAACGCTTAAATTCATGAAGTCTGGGAAGCAGTGAAAGCAGCTCATCGGAGCAGTTACCATGAAAATATTTGTAAAAAAAGACAGAGGAAAGCAACTGCACATCTGTGAGAGGGCAACTGCAGACGAGATGCCAGATCAGGGCCAATTACATTGCATATCCATCTCTGGATTTTATCAAGGACCTTGAGACAAACAGATTATAATAAAAACATGTTGAAACCACTACACAAAAGCTTTCAAGTTTCAATACTTTGATTGTACTTCTTCAGGCTATGGTAAGTAACTGGTGATTAAATAATTTTTTAATTTTTTGAACTTAAAATCATTTAATCACCAGTTACTTACCATCATCCGAAAGAAGTACAATCAATATATTAAAACATGAAAGTTTTTTGTTAAACGATTTTTAGATGTTTTTTGTTATATCTTTTATGATAAAAGTATAATAATAATTGCTCTACTTTGTATTGTCCACTTTTTAAAAGTGAATGCTGCGAACAGTGGATTTTTACTCCATCTGTTCTTTCTCCCATTTGTGTGTATATATATATATATATATATATATATATATATTTATATTACAATGAATCATTCATACAAAAAGTAGATTAGTAAAGGTAATGATACAAAATATTCATAAATATTCATTGAGTGATTTGTAGGTTAATTCCTTTAACATTTTGTTTGTGAAGGGATTTCGCCATTTTATATCATTAACTTTACTAATCTACTTTTTGTATTAATGATTCATTGTTATATATATATATATATATATATATACACTTTATTATAGGTTATTACATTCAAACATACATATTTCTGCCACATAAATGTATTAATGTTTCAATGCACATCATAGAATCTCATCAGGCAGTGGTAAAATGATGGTTATAACAAATTTAATATTACTTATAAAAAATCTCTTCTCTGGAAAAAAAATATAGGAATAATGACCTAAGATATAATTTTCTGAAAAGAAAGGAAGACACAAGATATAGATGAAAAAAGAAAAGAAAGGAAGACACAAGATATAGGTGAAAAAAGAAAAGAAAGGAAGACACAAGATATAGATGAAAAAAGAAAGGAAGACACAAGATATAGATGAAGAAAGAAAGGAAGACACAAGATATAGGTGAAAAAAGAAAAGAAAGGAAGACACAAGATATAGATGAAAAAAGAAAGGAAGACACAAGATATAGATGAAAAAAGAAAGGAAGACACAAGATATAGATGAAAAAAGAAAGGAAGACGAGATATAGTCACTAAAGAGAAGAAAGAAAGACGAGATATAGTCACTAAAGAGAAGAAAGGAAGACGAATTAGATATAGTTTCTAAAGAAAAAAGAAAAGGAAGACGAGATATAGTCACTAAAGAGAAGAAAGGAAGACGAGATATAGTCACTAAAGAGAAGAAAGGAAGACGAGATATAGTCACTAAAGAGAAGAAAGGAAGACGAGATATAGTCACTAAAGAGAAGAAAGGAAGACGAGATATAGTCACTAAAGGGAAGAAAGGAAGACGAGATATTAGTCACTAAAGGGAAGAAAGGAAGACGAGATATAGTCACTAAAGGGAAGAAAGGAAACACGAGATATAGTCACTAAAGGGAAGAAAGGAAGACGAGATATAGTCACTAAAGGGAAGAAAGGAAGACGAGATATAGTCACTAAAGGGAAGAAAGGAAGACGAGATATAGTCACTTTTTTGAAGAAAAGAAGACGAGATATAGTCACTAAAGGGAAGAAAGGAAGACGAGATATAGTCACTAAAGGGAAGAAAGGAAGACGAGATATAGTCACTAAAGGGAAGAAAGGAAGACGAGATATAGTCACTAAAGAGAAGAAAGGAAGACGAGATATAGTCACTAAAGAGAAGAAAGGAAGACGAGATATAGTCACTAAAGGGAAGAAAGGAAGACGAGATATAGTCATAAAGGAAGAAAGGAAGACGAGATATAGTCACTAAAGGGAAGAAAGCAAGACGAGATATAGTCACTAAAGGGAAGAAAGGAAGACGAGATATAGTCACTAAAGGGAAGAAAGGAAGACGAGATATAGTCACTAAAGGGAAGAAAGGAAGACGAGATATAGTCACTAAAGGGAAGAAAGGAAGACGAGATATAGTCACTAAAGGGAAGAAAGGAAGACGAGATATAGTCACTAAAGGGAAGAAAGGAAGACGAGATATAGTCACTAAAGGGAAGAAAGGAAGACGAGATATAGTCACTAAAGGAAGAAAGGAAGACGAGATATAGTCACTAAAGGGAAGAAAGGAAGACGAGATATAGTCACTAAAGGAAGAAAAGGAAGACGAGATATAGTCACTAAAGGGAAGAAAGGAAGACGAGATATAGTCACTAAAGGGAAGAAAGGAAGACGAGATATAAAATCACTAAAGGGAAGAAAGGAAGACGAGATATAGTCACTAAAGGAAGAAAGGAAGACGAGATATAGTCACTAAAGGGAAGAAAGGAAGACGAGATATAGTCACTAAAGGGAAGAAAGGAAGACGAGATATAGTCACTAAAGAGAAGAAAGGAAGACGAGATATAGTCACTAAAGAGAAGAAAGGAAGACGAGATATAGTCACTAAAGAGAAGAAAGGAAGACGAGATATAGTCACTAAAGAGAAGAAAGGAAGACGAGATATAGTCACTAAAGAGAAGAAAGGAAGAAAAATAAGAGCTAGAAGAAAAGAAAAATCCAGTATAAATCACTTCGCTGAAGAAGGATGAGGATGATAGAGAAATGTAAAAAGGCAAGACAAGATATGTTCTGGATAGGTTTAACCAATGAAAATCATTTACATTAAGATGTTATGGGAAATGGATTTGAATATATATATATATATATATATATATATATATATATATATATATATATTTTTTGAACAGCCACACTTCTCAAAAATTTCACATTAATGCTAGGGTCCCCATGCACCAGGCTCTATCCTGAGACTTACTTTGTTTGTTTATCTTCATCAATGACATTCTCGATGTCATCTGTTCCCAACTAAGTATTTATGCCAATGACACAACTATTTACTATCTTAATACTAAGTCCAACAAAGTAAAACTAGCAGCTGCTCTTGAAAATGGCCTCCTATCAGTTGTTAACTGGGGCAAGTAATACCTTTCAAATTTTAATCACATTCATTGCACCTTATTGGTCTCATGTTTTCCCCTGACATGAAGTGGTTATAATGAATTAATTGCAAGGCATGCTGCTAGGAAAGTTGGTTTATCTTCCACATCTTTAAATCTACTATTTCTCCATGCATTAAACACTGCTGCTAATTCTGGTCTGGTGTTCCAGCTATATATATATATATATATATATATATATATATATATATATATAGTCTTGAGATTCTTGACAAAATCAAAAATTCTGACCTGGCATTTCAACTTCAGTCACTTTCCCACTACCATGTGTTCTGTCTTTCCTGTAAATATTTTCTAATGAGCTCTCCTCCTTGTTACCTTGACTTCTTTTATTTTTTTAGTCATTTCACTCCAAGCATGGCAATAAAGCCACTAAGATGCAAGGGGGTTACTGTGTATGAAAGAATCTAAGAAAAAAAAAAAAAAACACAAAATAAAAGTTGATATTGCATTTAAATTTTTGAAGATCAAAATTGACTGGGAAGCAAGAAACCAGATTAGAGTTCCACAGGTGAAAACTGTTAGCATAGAACTTAGTTACAATGATGGGACCTTACTGCCAATCTAGTACTAAGCTTCAATTCATAAAGTCTAGGTACCATAGAGGAAAGTTCACCAGAACAATTACCATGAAATATTTATAGAAAAGGCACAGTCAATTAATTTTATTTTAAATTGGCAGCTGCTCTAAAAAATGACCTACATTCTGTTGTTAACTTGAGCAAGGAATGCCTTGCTAATTTTAATACCTCCTAAAGCAAAACTGTTTAACCATGAAAATATTTATAGAAAAGGCACAGGGGAGCCACATTATGGGGGTGGGAAAGTGAATGGAGCTGAGATGCCAGGCCAGGACCTATAATTCCAGAATTTCAGATTCTTCTTTGGATTTTATTAAGAATCTCTAAATACATTGCAGAAACATTGGACCAGATGTGGCAGCAACATTCCAAGCTTTAGTGTTATCTAGTTTATTTCCTCTCTGGAATTGACTGTATGAACTAGATGTAATCGTAAGTTTTTTTGGTTTTTTTTTTTTTTTTTTTCTTACACTTGTCACCTATGGCACACCTTTCCCATTTCTCACCTCCTTGACACCTATGATCTTAAACAATTTAGATGCAACATCAATTGCAATCTTTTGTCATCTTGATTACTGTTCTTTTATTGTCCTTACTCCTCAATAAAGTCTTTTCATCCTCTTTCACTCCCAGTAATCCCTTGTATCTTAGTGGCATTATCACCTGACTTGGAGTGAAATAATTAAAAAAAAAAAAAGGACACATGGCACAGTGGATAAAGGCGTTGGTTAGATACAGTGACAGGATCCAAAGAGTGTTAGTTCAATACCTGGCTAAGGCAGTGGAGAACTTTCAGAGGGAAATTAACAGGAGATAACTGACATCCATTAAACATGGCACATGGAACTAGAACAGTTTATCCCAGTGAGCAAAATAAAGGGTTAAAATTCGACATTCCAACCACTTGAAGAAGGCCAGAGTGTACAACGGCTGAAACGTAATAAATATTGCGACAAAGATGAGGCCAATAGTCTGAATAATGTAAATAGTGTACATAGTACCTCATTTCAGAAATATAGACAGATACTAAAAAAAAAAAAAATGTGTGTATAGTCGAGTGGACCAATGAATCTATAGTCTGATATAGGTATTAGGTGAATTTTTATCTGAAAAATTTGTGCAATATTTCATGCAAATGATTAATATTCTTTACTGAATTAAGTGCATTGACAATAAAAGAGTTTTTATAAAATTAATTTTTGATAATTAAAATAAATACATTTTTTCTTAATTTATTAAGTTACAGACTTCAGTGGGTTTCATGGTAAAAAGACAAATATTGCTAAGAGTTGTGAAGTTGTGGAGAGTCATGATCACATTTATTTCTATATTTTAGGTGTGTGAATACAATTTAAAAACTTATTTTTATTATTTATATTTGGACTATAATTGTCGTTATCATGTTTCAGCCATTGTTCCCCTCTGGGCTACCACAGGTGTATATCAGTCTGGGCAACCTACAGCAAATTCTTAATTGAACCCTTTATTTAATCTATGTGGGTAGACTTTTCTTGTTCCACTGCCCCAGTCTTGGGATATCATCTAGTTTTTATTTTTATCTAATACTGTTCAATTATTGCACACCCATTTCCACTGAGTGCAATTACACACTGCCCGACCCAGGGATTGAACTCACAACCATTGTGTTATCAAACAATAGTCCAAATATAAATGGTGTAAATAAAGAAAACTTGTCATCCCAGAAATTCAGGAGTCCTGGGTATGACAATAAACTACATCCAACAGAAGGCCTCTGATTAATAGATTTGCAGGTTTTGAGGAACATGAAACCACCTCTTAATTTCTGTTGTTCCCAGGTCCCACCTGACCCAGGGTGGTAGCACTTGTTAGGGTCCCAACTATAGACAAATAGTGAACCCCTAAACAACAAAAAAAAGACTATGAAAGTATAAAAATACATGTATTATTTACATTATTATTTCATCCACAAGAGACATGGCACGTGGAGCTAGAACAATCTACCCCGGTGGATGAAATAAAAGGTTTGGTTCAAGATTCCAATCATCTGAAGGTGGCTGGAGTGTACAATGGCCAAAATGTTGTGAATATGGCATTGAAGATGAGGATAACAGTCCGAATAATGTAAATAATGCAAGTAATCATAATACCTCATCTCAGTGATATAGACAGATATAAAAATACATTTTTAAAGCAAAATGACTAACTACATTTTATTTATAGTTGAAGCCATGCCGCTAAACAAAACCAACCAAGAAATTCAAAAAAAATAAAAAAACTGTTTTTTCTTTTTGTTTTTTTTAATCTTATTTTTAAGTTAAGCAGCATTGAGCTCACAGTATTTCAATGGGGGTGGGGGGCACTTGAGAACACCAAATAATATAAGCTGCCTAATCAATTTGTTTTTTTAAAACAAAATATGCTGGAAAATTTTGCACACACCTGATATTTTAATTGGTTAAAATCCCTTCATGAGAGAGACGGAAAGAGTATGTGGCTATTATATAACATACTGAAATTGGACGGTAATAAACGTCAGTACATTTTTGTTCTGATCAATGAGTATTCTATATTCAACCCAAGATCTGCTGCTACAAACCAATAATTCTGCTTCAGCCCATTGTCATCAGCATCATGTTTGGCATGCCGACAAACACCTATCGACTTCACTGCCAAAATCCTTGGGGAGTCGGTAAATTAACAATCCATTTGTTACTTTAATTGTTGTACCTTGCCTCACCAGGCACCAACTTGAGTTTTTGTTAATAAACTTACGAGCCGGCCAGACATTGTCGATCAGTCAGTCAGCTGGAGGACCCTATCTGACTGCACAAGTTCTAAGGTGTAAGCACGTAAAGTGGCCAATATCATGACAGTTCTTTTTTCTCTATTGTTGTTGTTGTTACTATCAAGTCTACTGACACTCTTGCTGCCGCTGCTACTGCTACTGCTGTCTGGGACTACCAAATGGGCACATGTCGATGGGATTTTTATTAACCTGAGATGTCCACTTCTTGCCAGACATACAAGGCTTGTCTTCTGTCACAGTGCTGCTATGTTAGGTAGGCTGCTTCTGTACGCATTGTTTAATTTATATACACCTACACACGAAGGCATAGAAACAGCATCACTTTAGCTGCAATGTTTAATCTCCCACCCTCTCTCATTAATTTTTTGGCCTTTTATCTTCTCTTGCCATCCAAATTACCTATTTCATTAGCCTTCATATTCATCCCTGCATTTAATATATCTATATATATATAGATGCATGCTGGGTCAGCAGTGAATTATATCGTGTCGGTACTTACACTGCAGTGGACATAATGGGTAAACCTAAGAAGCCAATACATTTGACTCGAGGTTATCATACAAGTTCTTTCTCCAAACCACAAGTGTTTGGACACTTCCTGGGTTTAATGAATGATATAAATTTACAGATCAATTTTCAGGGAAAGAATTTTTTCTTAAAGCATTTTCATGATTATTATTATTATTGTTGCTGTTGTTGTTGTTGTTATAATGGAGAAAAAATAAAATAAAAATATGCATTTCTTATGTTTCATCTATTTTAAAATTTTCTTCAGATGTACAAAAATATAGACAAAAATATGTAAATTATTCACATAACAAATCCCCACCAAACATGTCATGTGTGTGCATGTGTGCAAGTTAGGTATAATAACAGGGCAGAAAACTAACCCAAGTTGCTGTTGATTTTATTTTTTTTTTTTTTTTTTTTTTAAAAAGTGTTCAAGAGTTGTAGAATAACCCTTTTTAAAAGGGAAATACATATAATGTGACCTCCACTATACTTTCATGTTACCAATCATAGCACATGTTAAGTTATTGCAGTTATCAGCTACTATTTTTATGAGTGCATATATATATATATATATATATATATATATATATATATATATATATATTTTATATAAATACATTGAGCTCTTTTGGTGGATCAGTTTCATATTATTAGGATTCACTTGGATTATATACTTTCAGATTATTGTCTGTGTATGTGTGTACATATACATACATACATACATATATATATATATATATATATATGTATATATAGC